TGCCCACAGATGGTATCATAACCAAAAGGAAGCAAACAAAAATTGTTTACTAAGTCTGTTGGTCAAGAAACCGCTCTCCCCAGGCTGGCACGTGCCTTTTTAGGGGAGACTTCACTGTGTCGTTGGAACCAGGGCAGCGAGGCCAGAACTAGACTTCCAACAACGGTGACACACAGAGCAGTCACCTCCCTTGAGGTATCTTACCGTGCCTTCCTTGGGATCGTAGAATCTCTGGATGAGCTGAACAGTTGTACTTTTCCCACAGCCACTTCCACCAACCAGGGCCACTGTCTGGCCACAACTAACCTTGAGATTCAAGCCCTTCAGTACCTGTGCATGTGAGAAAGGCAACCAAAACCATAGCAGTATGCAAAAACATCAGTGTAAATTTGAAGAAACTCTAAAGACTACAGTAAAAAATCCTGCATATTTACAGCAGAATCTGGTAAAAAATAAAATTTATAAACACATGAGTTTAAATTTTGGATAACTAATCACTTTTACTTAATTATCTTCATATTTACAGCACTATTGGTCTAATATCAACGTATTATACACACTTCACAGTTACCCATATCATCAAACAGTTCATATGACAAAATAATAATAATATGATTACAACCCACAACTAAAGTATAGTATAGAAACAATGATGTGATATTTTTGTATTATGTTGCTTTGCCTTTTAATTTAATGCACCACGGAAATTACAGGAAAACTACTGTACAGAAAAAGTCACAGTTAAAAGTGATAGAATATACTCTACATTGTTTTGGAGAGAAAGTAATTTTAGCAACCTTGAAGTATCCTTAAAGTTTTCCCTTTTTGATTAGACTTGCTGGTGGGGTTTGTTTACAATGGTGACATTTCATTCCACAATATATAAGCTTTTTGTATTAGTCAGCATAAAATATAGCATTTCACAACCATGGAAGATACAAAATTTTACCTTCCTTGGGACTCTTACAAAGGGTAAATGTAGCTCTTTCGTGCCATGTAATTGCTCTTAATTTTATTTTCAAGAATATAACCTGTATCAGGCTGCGTAGTGGGGCTGGAGAACAGACACACAGTTAGCATGTCCATCCCACATGTATTTCATTTTCCCCACCTTTCTTCTTAACTTGCTCACCTGAGTAGTAAGAAGATACAATAGGAAAAAAGGACTAAAGTGGTTTTGTTTCTACTTTACACAGCAAAAGGTGTACAGGAGTCTGTATAGCTTTCACTACTTTGTACAACTTCTGTGGTTGGAAATATATATTGAAATGAAGAAAAGCATATTTTTTGCTAATTGGTCTTCTAGGAGGACTAGGCTACAATGAACTATGCATACCTGAATATCAGCATCTGTATTGCAGCCAAGTGCATTTTTCCATTCTAAATGTACAGCCATGCACCAATACGTTCCACTACTCTCCCAATGTACTTCCCAAAACCTTGCAGCCCTGTGTCCTTGTCACCGTCTCTTTCTTCCTAAATTTCTACCCTTAGCACTACTGCCGCCTTTTCACCCTTAGCACCAATATTTGTGTGCTTTACTAGTGAAATATATCTCTCTGTTTAGGAACAAGAGGCATAGACAAATCTTAAATTTTAGTATGTCTTCTTTTGCTATATTATTTTTAGATCAAAACAAGAAGTCCGATATAAATAATAACAACTGAAAAATTATGAAGCTGCCTTATTTAATCTTCTGGTCATAGTGCTATAGATAATTTAGTCTATGGACCTTGTATAGAACAACTCAAACACATCTAATGTAAATAAAGTAGCAAATCCAAGTTGATCTAAAACCTGTGGATTACCACTGATTTCAGTGGACTATTAATCAGAACCTTGTAATTAAATTAGTTTAGGCTTTTTCTAACAATTTAAAGCAAACAGCTAAGAGAGAGTAAGGACAGCAAATAAATCAGCCTAGTGGGATAGGAAGTAATTTGCAGTCTTCATCATGCCTGTCAGTTACTTTACTGCCCTTAATCCTGTTGAAAAGAAGAGTTAACTTGAAAGTCAGGTAGATTAATCTTAGCCAGAAATGAACTACCCTGAGTTATTTGATGTCCTCATTTTTCTCTTTACTGTAATTTATGAAATAGTTACTAAATGTTTGGTGTAGCTGTAACTTCCTATATATAATTATCTCTGAAACCATAGGGGAGAAATCTCTATTCATATCATACATGAATAAACTTATAAAATAATCCACTGAGATCAATAGTTGTCTTTTTATTTATATTTATATATAAAGAAAAAGCAAGCACATTCACTTCATTCACTTTCTTGATAGATGAAAAAGACGAAATATTTAACATATTTATGAGCAAAAATGGCTTAAAATGAAAGCTCTGTGTCTTTCCTTTCAGCCTATCAAAATTAAGAAAGATCCCTTTATCAAGGTCAGTGCTTTTCCTTCAAGGTAGGGAAGAAAATAGTTACATAGTGTAAAGACACTCTTCATGAAAGTATTTTCAGAAATCATTGAAATGTCGTCCACCTCCACTGCAATAAGGCTCTGGATTTACAACAGAGCTTTAAAAAGCAAACTCCTTCTCTGTCAAGACAGACAAATAGAGATTCTGATCTTTATTCAGTATATCACAAGTCCTTGATGGATCTGCCTTCTTTAACTGGCTGAGATACAGTCTTAACACAGCTGCATTGCAGGTACTTTTGAAACCCACTATCTCATTATTATTACTATACACAAACACTTGGGTTAGATGTATAAATTTAGATTCTGATAGCAATAAGTCTTTACATTTTATTGCATAGCCACACTGACTATAGCTTTAGACGGAAAATTATTCAGAAAACATGTTTAGCTAAGGTGTAAATAGTTCTAGCTAAAATCATTGTGATGGCAAGGTAGTTTTACATAAATCAGAGAATCACCTTGGAATTTTTATATTTTCAACAAGATTTTATTCATGTGACTTTTCTTCCCTAATAAATGATCCACATGTTTAACTGTAATATGTATAAAGTTTCTTTTACAGTACCTCAATATCTGGTCTGGATGGATAATTGAAGTAAACATTTTGGAATTCCAAGTTCCCTTTAATGTAATCTGGTTTGTAACCTGTCTCTGAATAACTGTCAATTTGAGGTTCCTGTGCAAAATAAAAATAATAATAAATTATTTCTTAATTATCTTTTTCATAAAGAAGTCCTGGAGCGCACCATTATTCTGCATAGGTATTAATGTAATTTTAAAGTAATTTAGGTGAATTTCTGAAACAAGTAAATTGCATGATGTTTTGCTGCCTCATTACTACATTGACGATCTGCTCATGTACAAATACTTTTATAATTTCTCCGTTTAAGCTTTTCTGTGAATTTAGTACACTGTCTTTAAGACTGTACCCACAGCTAGCCATAATTTGATATTTGTTTCACTACCTGATGATTAACCTGAACAGATCATCTCTAATGAGCTGTTTATACGCTGTTCATTTACAGCTTTGCTCTTTCTGCCAAAACAATTTGTGTGAGAAAGAGCCAATCCACTGACCATTGAGCAGAAACAGAGCTCTTAGTTATGACTGGTTTTGTTTTCCATTTTGTTTCCAAGATGGGTCTAGAACTTGAAGCATGTCTTAACAACAATCTAAAACATGCAATTGCATTTCATAGACCTTCATCAGCTAGTAAAATCACAGTTTCCTTGGTCTCAGACTCACCTGGCAATTGAAGTACATAACCGGATTACCAGGTTGTGTTTTATTTATTCGCCAGCACTCATGCCACCGGTGGTGCCACCGATACCTTGAAACCTATGCTCCTAGACCTACATCGGCTGTAATCACATGTCTATATAGCACCATAGACGTGCCCTTCATGATAAAAACATTAGAGGATACCTCCAACACCAAGTGATTCAGAGATCCAGTACTTTCACCTTTGAAGCAAGAACTGATAACTCTAGAAGACAAAGAGGGACTGACTAATAATTACACATTCTATCTGCTTTCATGTTTATATTTCTGCTTATTTTACACACTGTTGTTTACTCTTACTAATATCATATCCATAAATAGTGCCTGTACTTTAAAAAGAAGTGTCTCTCTGTTTTGAAATGAGAGTGAGGGCAAAGGTACTCACATTGTCTATGATATTAAAGATTGCATAGGCAGCTCCTCTTGCTGCAGCAAATGCCTCTATGCTTGGAGCAGTCTGTCCAATACTGAAAGCTCCAATCAATACAGAGAAAAAGACCTGAAAGAAATGTTTATGGTGACATATATCAGTTCTTATTTAAGCAGAGAATTACATTTATTTATTTACATTAGATATCTTTGGGTCAGGAGGCTCCACGTTAACAGAAGTTTAAGGAATCTAGATTTAAAGAAAAAATGAAAGGGTCTCTCTTAAACAGAGAATAACACTAAGGGGTTTTTAAGATTCAGCTGAGAACTGAGTTCCTGCACAATGTGAATGTTGCAAACATATTGATAAGAAGTGAAAAAGTGACTGAGACCTGCAAAATCTATGCCAAAAAGTGTACAATTACACTTGATGTCTCAGGATTTATTGCACTAATTCATTCTTTGGTAAAACATGTTCCAAAGACCAGGGAGTATATTGCATATCTTCCAACAGAACACAGATATGTAAAGCAGTATCATTCTGATTTCAAAGTGACAGTGGAATAGAAGTATACAAATCCAACTTCTCCATCACAGAGTAATAAAGGGTCCCTCTTCTGGAATGAGAGTGAGTGCAAGCAAACAAGAAAAAAAAACAGAAAAAAAAAGATATTTTCTCAGAGAAGCATAGTTTATTGCTTTCAGCCAATATCAAAACAAAAGTAATAAAAACACACTGCTCAAACAGAGATCATAATAACAACCATAGCACGTCAGAGCAAAGGTTCATCATATCCACCATCTTTTCTCCAACAATGTTCATTCACAAATGTGATATCTCACACAAAATTGGAATGGTTGCCACTTCAAGAGAAGAATTTAAGTTATGACTTATGAGTTATAATTTTCTTCCTTTGGTTAGATGGTGATATATTTCCTAGTCACAAGTATATTTTTCTCCCCCTCAGTTTCTAAAAATATGGAGAAGTGATTCCAAGCTATTATGGTGCAAAATATAAGAAATGTATCAATAAAATTATCTACTCAGACCACACAACAGGTAAAAAAAAGTACTTGCCTCTGCATCCTGAAAGTATATTCAGCCCCACAAATCTGAAAACAAATAGCAACTAGGAAGGGTACTGTACTTCAGTTTTTGACTGAACTGTTTCTGTATCAGTCTGATCTTATGGAATTCAAAAAAGATGTAGAAACTGTTGAAAATAATATGTGTTTTATTTGGCTTAATGTAGATTTTCAGACACTATAGAAAAAACGTAGACTTCTGTGGTGAGAAACTTTTTGTTAAGAAGAAGGGAGGCTATTTTGATTTTGGCACATAATTCTTATTAAACTCAAATAAGTTCCTAATATATACTTTAATGTATTTTTTTAGTATTTATCACTATTATTGGGAATTTACTCACTAATACTTACTGTAAGGACATTGCCAATAGTGTAATCATCAGCTAAGACCAAGGTAGTTCCATACCAGAAGGCCAGTGCATACGATGCATATATCAGCAAGAAAGCAGCACCCATAGAAATATTAGCTGTAATAGCCTTTTTTATTCCAATCCGTTTAGCATCTTCTAAATTTTTATGGTATCTGGAAGAAAGAAGTTCAAAACAGACTGAAACTTGTACCATGGCACACAGCACCAAAAACTCTGTGGTCGAGTTAGAAAAAGAACACTCACAAAATACAAGATATGTAAAATATATAACCCTAAGACTGTACAAAGGTAAGCCTAGTAGTCAAGTACAACGACTTTAAAGTAATTCCTAAAAAGGTGAACGTCAGTCAACCTGGTATATAGGAAAAAAAGAGCATTGCAGTTCAGGGACTGGCATTCAAGCTCCTTAAATAAACTGCAGGTCAGCGAACTTTGATTGTGAACTATTCATGACAGGTTTTGAGATTATAATTGTTAGCTTAAGATAAAAGGTTGAAATATGTCACAAGAATGATGTTTCACAGTATAGTGGAAGTAGAGATAGTGTTTATTAGTACCTTCACAACAGCTACTGAGTAATCAGATTACCGACACCATCATCTCTTCTCACGGCATGGCCTTTTTTTGTCTAAAGCTTTCACTGCGTGATGTTTAAAGTAGTTTGTACACTTTCTGGAGCAGAGACAATATATCAACTTACTTTGCCATTTTCTAGAAAAATAACTGCCTTTCAACATGTAGTGAAACTTATAATACTCTGTAACACACAATTTCCCATTACCTAAAAACACAGGAAGCACAAAACTTACTTGTTTTGACAGATTTTCAACAGCAAAGATGCAAGAAAGTTTCAAACCATCTGAAGTGAGTACTTTAAAATCAGCTAATGAAAGCAAACATTGCTCTTACCTTTTAATTTCTTTTTCCTGTCCTCCAAAAGCTATTACAGTACGCACTGCTGCCAGAACTTCCTCTGCAACAGCACCTGCTCTTGCATATGCAGCTTGTTCTTTGTCAGTGAAAGCAGAGAGAACCTAGCACAGGATCAAATATTTTGACTTAAGAAAAGCAGAATGAGCTTAAGCATTTCGTAATGGCTTTTATCACAGTTACTTTCTTCCAATATGAAGCCTTTTGATTATATTATGTATGAGTGCAGAATGTTCATTATCAAAATCCTTAAGTACATTAGGAATTCAATCAAGTAATTCAACATTACCCATTCTCAATAACTAAGGGCTGGATTTTCCTCTCTGCTTTTCACCTAGTGCAGGAGATCAGATGACTACTCTTACTGAGCTGGTGTGGTTCTCCCCAGGCAGATCTCCTCAGGTCATTCTCATCTCTGGCTACCTTAGCCAGAGGGCTCTATAGCTTACATCAATCGACCACAGTCCATGTAGACATATGTAGCACATGCTTCTCTACTCCTACCTTTTCTGCAGTATACTCACTCAAGACAGAGAAGGTTTACATGATCTTTTAAATGTGAGGGAAATAAAATACTATAAAAATCTGAAGGCTTCCAAACTACAAATGTAAGTGACTCCAATCCCATGGCAATTTAGTACCTCTCTCACCTAACTCTGTCTAAAATTTCTTACCAAAGCTGTTAACTCTGAAAAGAAACTCTGTCTCTTGAGACCAAGGCTTGGTCCAATTCATTCACCTATTTTTCAGATGGTGCAATTATTCCTTTCAACAGAACAAGTACTTATGTGGATGAAGTTTAACAGTTGCAGATGCGGATTCTACTTATATATCTTACTTCCTTTTCTGCATAAAACTATCCTATGTCGGCAGAAACAGTTTCAAATCAAACAAGTCTATCCAACCTACAGGAATTATAACATTCAAACTACATGAGGGTACTTATATACAATTACTCTAAGAGCTTAGGTACATACATGTAGTCTAAAGCTATAATTGTTCTAAGCAATACATTCTAACAGTAAGAATTACAGATATGTAGATTTATTTCATTATCTCTCATTAATATAAAACCTGACACTGAATGTATGTTAGCCTACCTTTGCCCAGAGGGCTGCTGAAAGTCCCAGGACAGGACTGACTGCTAGTATTACAAGGGTTAATTTCCATCCTCTTATGAGACCAACAATAAATCCTGTTACAAATGTTGTTAGTGACTGAATAAGCAATGCGATTTTGTCACCTATTCCTTCATTAATCTTGGAGACATCACTGAAAAACAAATTACATCCAGACAGGAAGGAAAATGTAGAAATCAGAAGAATGTTTTTCAGTTTTGTTACATGGGCATCTGTGTAGAAGAGTTTCATTATTCAATTACTTCCAAACAGCAGTTTGCTTCAAGATGAAGTAATATAGTGTGTGGTCAAGGAAAATTCCATATTTCTTGAGAAAATGTAATGTTATAAACCTGGTTTTGTCTGAAAAGGTTGAAATTCTGCCTACAGTGCAAAGTTACTCTCACTTTCTTAATTCCAAATTTTTGTTCTGTTTGGAAACTGTGGGATGACTGGAAAGAAAAGATAAAGTCTTATATGTAGGCAAAGAGAAAGGAATAGCTTGTCATGCAGTTAAAGGTGTTCACACTGCTGGGGTCAGCTGGCACCTCATTCAGTCCTCAGTGAGCACAGAAATGACCTATGCTTTCTCTTCATGGGGGTAATCTCAGGCTGGGCTTTAGTGATCCTCAGACTTCAAATGAACTTATCAAAATGCTTTTCTGATATCCTTGTGACAGTCCAGTATCACAAGTATTAGAAGTTCAGTCTCTGAGACTCTCCATGAGAAAACTTGAAAAATTCATTTGACAATGAAATAATTCAATTGAATTTTACAGTGAAATTTCACTATGCAGTGAAATAATTAAATTTAAAAATAAAAATGAAAATAAATTGTAACTCATATATGCTTAGTAAGATAAAATAACGTTGGGAAAGGTATAGCATACTTACTCTAGAAGACGAGTGTTAAGTTCTCCCACATCATTTACATCAAACCATCCAATTTCCTGCCTCATAATTGCATGAAAAAAATTTTCTCTAATTTTTTTTATTTGGCGGCCTGCTGCTAGGGTCCAAAATGAAGTTTGGATATAAGCAGCAAGAAGAACAGCAGCTGCTATTGCAGAATAGTAGTATGCATATCTGAAAGACAAAAATAGAGCAAGATTCTCTGATATTAGTTTTAATTACCTCACTACTCCATATTTAGCTTGATGCTTAGTTCTCTGTTTCAGACCTGAATTAGAGTTTATAAGTTTGTACTAGATTTTACGCTTCTCTGAAAAACTTGCCAAGTTTTCTATGAGTAGTATTTAATATCAGTTTTCAGATATGCAATAAACAAAACAAAGCTACTGTTAGACAGGAATTACTTTTTCTTTTTGTCAGTATAGTATATATTTTCTCATAAGATTATTTTAGAACTATATTTTAGATACAATACCTTTTTCACTTAAATGTGTCATTTCCAAAAACTCCATAACATCTGTTTTAACACATATAGACAGACCTAATCATATATACCTATATTCACACACATTTACATCATACAAGATGCCTGTCTACATAAATATAGATATGCATGGATGTTATAAATATTCCCCAAACTGAACCCAGCATTACTATATATACATCGATTGCAAGCAAATGCCTTTAGATCAAAAAATCTTTTGCTCTTTATTTTATTCATAACTGATATATATATAAAAAATAAAATAAAGTAGAGAGCAAAAGAATCCACACATTTATTTAGCTCTGTGCTATGAGCAGGGTGTCAAATCAAACGCAAGGAGTGTGTGAACCACTATATTTCTCAAAGTGGAACTGAATTTGGGCCACAGTTTTAAACTGTTCAAACAGAATCAAATCAGATTTGATTTGATTCAGAACTGACATCAGAATCAGTTACAGGTGAATTTAAACCAGAAAAATCTAACTGATCTGATTCCCTGTTTGTAAAACATGACCAAAGCCAATGGCTAAATATTTGTGGTGTGTATTACATGTAATTGTAAAACTACTGCATCTCTATAAAAGTAAATAATCAGCAGAAAGCTTTAAAACTCTTAGGACTTTCACTCACATGCAGTAAGTTATGCATACTGATTCTTTAGAAGAGTAGCATGAAACTTGGCAGAAGCAAATTGCAGGAAACTGTGTGCAAATGCTCTGCTCAAAAAAGGAGAGAAGAGCTTTATAGATTAAATTTTTCAAATTTTAATCCAGTCTTTTTAGTGGCTAAGATACCATAGAGTTTAGCCAAGGACTCTGGAACTATACTCATTATGAAATGAACTTTATCTAAACCGTTTAATAAAAATGTGTTAATGCCTAACTGAATGCTGATCATCTTCAGCTCCATTAAAACTCTACACAGAAACTACCAAACTAAAGCCAAGAACACTGCTTCAAAATTCAGCAGTAATTACTTTATACAATTACTTTATGATGTTACATCACTTCAGAGAATTGTTTTATACTTGGACTTTGTTTCATGACAAATTGCATCAAAAGGGATTGATATCTTTGCCAGATTCCATGCTGATGAATTAGATACTGTAAATTCACTGCTGAAACTTAACAGAGAGTAAATGCTCACTGCATTGTAAAATAGTGGTTCTTTTTCTTCTGAGGAGTAGTTCAGGTTTAGGCAAACTGGTTTTTGAGTAACAAACACAACCAAGTCCACATGTAGTTCAGTACTTGAACACACCTGTGTGAGAACTTTGTCCTTGTAAACAGTTTTTTATCTGCTGACAGGCGTTCTTAGAGAAACAAGGGGTGGGTACAAACAGCTGCTTCTTCAAACCAGCAAACTCACTAACTCAAGGCTCTATCCAGAAAATTTAGAAAAAAGAACCAATTCCTGTGCTGCTAATAAGTAATACATTCCTCATTCAGCAATTGGTTTCTAAAGAGAAAGTTGTGCTGCTTTTTATTCATACTTGCGCTTTCAGAGCTAATGTCTAAAAGACAAGGTGGGATGCATGATGTTAATGAAAGATCTCCCTCAAATAGACCATCTCTTAGGGTCATGAGAACAGGCAGTTCTCAACATTTAGATGTTGATGTAGGTCTATATTCACATTTGCACTTTCTTTGTGTCAGCTTGTCTGTTTTCCTGTACTCTTTGTTCTTTAAGCAGTAGTGACTCCTAAACAATAGCCCTCTGAGGACAATGGGAGGATTCCTATTGACTTTAGTCAAGATAATGTGATATGAGTTCAGAGATTAAAAGAACACCAAACCATTAATCAAAAATAGTTCTGACTGGTTGTTGGTCTAAAAGGGTTATAAATGACGCATAGATTTACATACTATTCTTACGCTATAAGGGTCAGTAACACCTGTGTAATTCTAGTACATCCTGCTCTTAAAATACAGGTTAGACATGTTTGAGTAGTAAATAAAAGAAAATACATTGATTTTAAAGCTGTGTCATTACTTTCATTTCAAAGCAGAAATGAAAACACTAACTTAAATATCTTTAAAATTAAGAGAAATTAATTACAGCAAGTGATACAGTTTTAAAGCAAATCCAACCATAAGACCAGTTACTAGAAAGAGACAATTAAGCAGGTAGAAATATAGAGAATAGCTAACTGCCATGGAGGAAATATATTAGGTATTTTTTACATTTGCAGGGATAACAGAACACTCAATTAAATTCAAATGATGTAGTTTTATATTTTAACAGGAACTGCTGCTTATATGACACTTTATAAAACTATTGGACTTGTCAAAATATATGCTGGAGACTTAAGATCCTGGTGAGTTTCAGAAAAGGAATCCTGTAATTGCATATGTAGTAAGAACAACTATTGTTAAAGTTCCCTTGGAATAAACATAAGACAGACTTTAAAAATGTTGTGCAACTAGTCATCAGGTATTTACTAAACATAGAACAGTTAGGGTAACTTCACCCATGTGCAAATTATTTTATTCTGCAATTTTGCCTTCAAATTTGCTTTCAAAGCACTGGGCACAAGTATATTCCACTGAAGGTGCGTATGCATTACTTTTCATTCACGTCAGAGACTTACTGACAGAAATGCTGCAGGAGCAAGAAACTCTGTGTCCATACTCTCTTATAAAGCATAATTGCCAATTCCCTGCCAGTTCATTCTCATTACATACAAGTTCTTAATTTCTAAGTAACAGCCTTTTCCTAATTAGCTATTTCTCATTTATTTTAGGATAAAGAACTTTTTTTTTGGTGTAAATAGAGTTTTTTAAATCAGAAACTTAACTACTAAATATGAATGATCTGTAAGTTTACAGTCCACTGTTGCCAGAAACAATAATGCACTCCAATATAAACCAACACAAGTTACTAGAGCAAATGCCTTATCCCCTCCTTCTCTTCAGAGAAGACAATTGCCTTGTAGACCGCATCAGCGTTCATGAGATGTCAGATGTTTTCAATACCTAATGAGGAACAGACTTCAACCTGAAGTAAAGAAGCTGAAGTGGCACAAGAAATTGCATGTGACCTTTAGGCATCCTTCATAAACGAAGTCTATGGACGGTAGTTAATAAAGCCGCTTAACAAAACACATCTACTGGCATCTTATGTTTCTGCTTATTTGAACCTCTCTGTGTGAAGCTTTGTAGCAGAAGCACCTACTGACTATTGTCTTCTGCTATTGCCAGCTCTAGAATGCTAGATTTAAGATTGCGTATAATCTAACTCTGTATTTTCTGTAGTCCAGATAATTCAGTTGAACTTGATGTTTTGGCAGCAAAGTAGGTACTATCTGGCAATTTAATTCTGCTTTTTATCAGTGAATCACTATAGCTCAAGGAATCAACGCATGACAAACAATACAATTTTTAGCATAACAGTTACTGTTTATAAATTCAGAGGAAGAGAAGGAAGAAGGAAGGAAATGCAGACGGCATTGGGACACAGAGCACCCCTGAAAAGGGGGTGGGATGGGTGGGAAAAAGAGATTACAGGGAAATTTTTGGTAATAGCTGTGAATGTTCAAGAATCCTCCCAGTGCCTGCAATAATCTCCAATAATCTCACGTGCAAACCTTCAGTTACATACATTATTCAGTCAACCTTTGCTTTTATGTTGTTTATAGCATGCAAAACCTCTGTGGGAGAAGAATGGCTTGACTAGAAATATGTTCCTATATGAAAAAATATATTTATATTGATATTTTTATATCCTTATTATTGATATCCTTTTTTTGATAATGATATTGAATTTTGAAATTTATATTTACCTTGTCATATCTTCTTCCAGCTTGCTAAGAAATTCTGAAGAGGAATTAATTGCAGATATGTTTCCTTAGAAAGGAAGAAGAGAGTAAATACTTTTAATAGAGTAAATTTTAACAAATTTGTCTTCCTGCACACTGTTCAGCAAATGTTGAGTTGCCACAGCTCATTCTGAATCAAGTTGATTTTAATGAAAGGAGGAGAGTGACAATTTCAGGTTTCTACCTATTCAAAAACAATTATTACAATAATATAAGGTTAGTCATAACTCCACTAATTTGAGATTAAAAGGTCTTCCTGAGCATTCATTAAATGCTCAGATTAGGGTGTTTCTTTTTTGAAGACATAGGGCATTTTTATAATGCCAAAACCTGTTAAAAATACAGGCCTAGACATTGACATCAAATCAGTAACTGTAGCTAGCTTAAGCCATTATGAAAACATTGGCTACAATGTTGGTTCTGGCCCTAAAATCTTACTGCTCCACATGAGAATTTAGTGACAAATGTTTTAAGACTACAGCTGCAGCATTTTGCATTTGCACCATAAAAATCTGATCAATTTATTGTAGTTGAGGAGTAAATCATAAATTACTTGTTCTGATAAAGGCAGTATGCCCATGTTTCTGTCTTATAGCAAACAGAGCAAAAATGGATGCAGGATGGAAGACAGGCACATCCTTTATTTTTTCTGTATCACCATGGACTTCTATTTAAATGTTTAATAAAATTTTATTAGATAATATTTCAGGCAACAAACCTGTTCACAAGTTTAACATCTGATGTGTGAAGTTCAGAGGACAACATAATCTGGTCTAACTGTGAGTTGATACCAAAACGACAGTGTCGCTCTTCCCTCTTGTATCCAGCAGTGCATGCCCGCCCTCCTTTGTGTTTGATTTCATATTTCTGATTCAGCAAATGAGGCTATTCAACAAATCGATCCAAAAGAAAATTAGTACTTTTATTTTTGGTAGTAAATTTTCTGTTGGATCTACTTACTGATCTGAGTCACCTTGTGAACCATAATTGTCAAATTGATGCAAGGGATTCAACAGGAACTCATGCTGAGGAGATGGAAAACCAGCCTCTTTCTATTTATCACAGCCACAGTTAAACATGATTGGTAGAATGTGCACTATAGTGGATAATTTGAAAAAATTGTAAACAGAATCTACTAATGCAGAAACTAAGAATTAGGATGAAAAAAAATGCCGTAGTGTATGTCTACTACAACAAACACACGAGTTACTAATTCACGTCATAGTGTAGTAGCAAGTTGGGCTTTCTGACATCAATATCTTCTGTCAAGATGCTTGGATTTCCCTGGCTCTTTTCCAAATATAAGCCATTTTTCTCTTCATAGCAGATATACTCTTACCTGTAAAATTTGAGTCTCCAGAAGCAACAAAGCTATCAGTCATATCACCAAAAATTATCATTGCAATAGGGAGACTGCTTCCATGGGCTATTGCCAGAAGAGTGCCTAGTATCATTAGTAATTTATCCAACCAACTGGAGTATCGAAACTGCAAGTGAGAAGAGAAATTAATTCTAACTGTGGTATCATAAGGCTGAGACAAGGTTCTATCTACAAAGTCAAGACAGTCAAGAAAAAGCTATCAACTGTACACCTAGTGTTACAAAACTACAACTTCACCTGATTAGAAATTAAGTTTACAAAACAATTTAAATGTACAGGAATAAACCCTTCTAATACAAGCACTTTTATACTATAAATTTTCAAAAACAGAGAAGTATACTATTTCAATGCATCAATATATGTGCCTGAGTAAGAAAGGCCATATGAAATCAAGGCATAAGAAATTTGCCCTTTTAAAATTTGCCATTTAAAGTTCAAATTATAAGACATTTTAGTGGTATTGTGATAATTAAGACAATAATTACTTTTACTGTAAATTCATTGTTATGCAGTCAGAAAAATTGTTCCTAATGTACCATAAACATCATCAAAAGGTACTGAAATCCTAAATACCTCTTGCCATTGAACTTAATAAAGTTTGAGCTCATCTGTTACAAAATCATTGGCCTTATTGTGTACTGTAAAATGTTAAGTTTATTGCTGCAAATTGTAGTGGTATGATGTAATTGTACAAGTGCAAGCTAGTATAGCAAAGCAGAGAAATTGGGCATTGGCCAGCACCACGGGCTATTTATTTCTGTTATTTCCCATATCAGTGCTGTGCATTAAGCACACTAAACGTACAAAATATAAAACATTTCAGTATTACTAAAAGGTGACTTAGGATTTACTTTGATTAAATATTAACAGATTGCCTTTTTAAAAAATACACAAAAAATTAAAAAAATCTGGACCTTAAAGTACTTTTTAGCACACAATTTGTAATTTTAAGTTTCATCAGTGCCATGGAGTTGCCCTTTACTGCTGACTCAGGTGACCGAATAATGTTTAATGGGGCTAATTAGTGTGAGTAGTACCTGATTCAGGAAATTTAGAGGACAAGACCATGCATAATCTTAGGTGTACAGACACCCTTTTCATCATGTTGAAAGAAATGGAAAACTCTAACTTTTGCAAACAAAAAGCTTGTACGGGCGTGTTTAGCATGGTAACTTATTAAGGGAAGACTCCTAAGAATCCATATCAGTCATAAGACAGCTTCCTTAACAACACTACATCCACAAAAGAATGGCTTGGTTGCTATACTATATCCATTATTCTGTAGTACCAAAGTATTTGGTAGAGACAAGATGATATATGCAGTACTCTAACATAATTTTAACAACTTTTTGTTTACACTTTGAAATGTGTGGGGGTGTATATATATGTACACATAAAGAGAATAGATCTTACCAGTGTAAGTGGGCTGACTACCTTAGCATTCTCTGCTTTCTTCTTCTTCTTCTCCTTGCTTAAAAGGCATGATACTCTCAGTGCATTTAAAAAGCAACATTTCACAGAAATACTAATGCATTATATTAATGAAGTTAAATTAAATATACTTATGACATAATTTTACAGGAAACAATTGTGTGTAAAATGAATAAGATTTACTGAGCATTCTTGAGATGTTTGTATTTAAACTTCCAGGTATATAACTAGCATCAGCTCCCAGCTTCTGTAACTTAAGTCAAGCTCTTCCCAGTTCACCCCTCTTAAGGGTGAAACAACACCAACAAGGGCTGGAGGTTCCACTATCTGATCTGGGATGTCATGAACTGAAGCAATAGATAGCTTTCAAAATGGGAAAGATGAAGCTAACTTATAAAATCAAATTTTTGCACATGGGTGATGGGGAATAAATAAAATGTTCAAGGTATGTAAAATATTGATTCCCTGCAATACTAAAAATTTTAAGATAATTTTTAGCTGATGACATAACTTTATCCAAGATGTCCATTCCAACATAATTTCTGTCATATTTTAGAAATGTTTTTCAATAAACGGTAGTCAATACTATGGACACTTAGTCCTTAACAGAAAAAGATAAAAGATCCTTCTGCCCCAAATGAATGTGTCAATGCTACTCTCAAGTTGATACAAAGCTTTCTGTTATTAGGTTTTCCTGATAAAATAAAGTAAAATAAAATAAAATAAAATAAAATTAAAAAATATAAAATAAAATCTAAAATAAGATAATGTAATCTTGTAAGCTTCAATATAGAACACGTTTACAATGTTTAAGAATACTTACTGTTTGTCTTCTGATTCATGACCCCGGCCGGATGCAGTGATCTTGTGACTATTTCCATCTGCAGTAGGCTTCTGCTTCCTTTCAGCTTCAGAATGCATTTTAAATTTATTTAAGATAGATCCCTGTAAAATAATATTTTCCCAAGAAATATACAACCTTTAAGCCAAGAACAGAAATCTCAACGATGATTTGTTTGAAAGAAAAATATAAATACTTATTAAAATCAATAAAGTTATTAGTGTCATACATTGCAAGTGAATCCTTGTAATGGGCAAGTACGAACATGCTGAAACAAGTCCACATGTTTAGAGTTCACTTACAAACATCTACATTTTGTATTTGTATTTGTTTGATAACTGTGGGTCCTTCATTTAATTTCATTTGAATGATATAAGCATTAAATTTTCTGCAATTCAGCACAGATATACAAAATAAATGAGAAAGTAGATGTTTGTTTAAAAGAATATGCAGTTATTTAGAATGTTCCCAATTTCAGTTATCAGTGAATTTTATAAAATATCTCTGATTTTTTTAATCAGATAAAGTATCTGATTTTTTTTTTAAAAAAAAAGATTGACATACTGTGAAGGTTGTTCTTGGTTTGTGTCTAGTCCTCTGAAAGACTATTCAAAACTCAGCGGAATTAGTATGGGTAAGAAAACTTTGGACTTTGCTCTTCTTAGGTAAAACAGAGATAATGAACAGCTTTCTCTTTTTTTTTTTCCCCCACTCCCATTGCCTCATCTACATTGGAGAGTAAAGTGTATGCACTTTGGACTCCGCCTCCCTTTTCCTAAAGGGAATATTTAGCAGAGAAAGTCCTTAAACACATGCTTACTTCATTGTCTCCCGAGAAAACAAGCCTGAATTCCACCAGGAAAAGTTCCCCTTATCTACTGTTGGCTTAATTATGCCCCTTAAAACTCCCAGAAATTCCTCTTTACCTTATTAGAGATGGTGCTGAATGCTCCAAGTAACTGTTACACTTAAGGATGAATCCATTCTTGAATACAGAGTGAGAATGAAACCAAATAACACAAAAGGAGTGTTTTACTCTTTTGCTGCTTTTCCCTTCTTTTAAGTCTAATCCAGAAAAACATGACCCATCTAGCCTGAAAGAAAACAGGTTTTTACTATAGGGCATATCGTTTCTCATTTGAGTAACTGCAGAACAGCAAGATGAGTTTCAGACTCGGTTTAAAAATGGCTTGGAAATAGCCATGGTCAGCAGAAATCTGCTCTATTAGTATCCTGATTTTTGAATGTTCAGATTCTAAACTGTTTGAAATGGCCCATTTATTTTATTGTGGAATGTACTGCTTTTATCAGTATCTGTAGGCATTACTTCAATGAGACTAATAACAAATATTTAAAACATTTCAACACATTTACAGAAGTAAAATTTATGAGAAGTTAAATAAAAATCCTTGTCTTAGAAGACAGGTAGATTTATATGAATTTCTCTGTAGGTCCCCTATCACTTTACTCAAACAAAACTTACTTAATCTGATAATTAATCAGAAGAGATCATTTTTGCCAGCAATCTCAACATTTTGATAAAACTGAGCATTTTTACAACATTTTGGAATACAAAGAGTCTTATCAGAGTGAGGGTAATTTCGAAAGGGTAATTTACCATTGTCGGTCAAGCAAAATATAAAGGATTAGTAAATATAAGTATTATCTGTTTATGAAAAGTAATCCTGAGATATTTGTATAGACTTCTATCCACAGCAGTTAATGGGAATACTTCTGGGTTTTAACCTGTGTGCCTAGGTGCTTTCCTGGACTTGATCTTAATGGACTGGACCAGTTATTTCAGTGGAAACTGAATAAAGTTGAATGAGAGACTCTAGAAAAAAGTAAATTCACTTAAATGAAATGGTATACACCAGTCTTTCACAGCTGGTTCATCTTAAAGGGAAAATGGACAAAACTACAAGATCTATCACAACGTGCTGTTATCTCCTTGCAATGTCTCAGTGCTATTGCAGTATGATCATGATGAGAAGGTGAAATAGAAATAAATAAGAATAGCAATTTGTACCAGAGTTTCTATTGCCTGCATACAGTAGTGCAAAGAAAATGAAAGACTGCTTTACAGCTAGTTTTATCACACTAGGAGCTGAACAAACTAAACTGATATTAAAATGTGGGAAAATTGGGAAAGTACAGTATTTTACATCTGCTTAGTAAGCTACAAAATTCTGTTATTTCTCTATAGCTTCTGTACTTTGACTTTTCAGTGACAAAGCTTCACACTTGCACAGAATTTGAAGCCAGAAAAAGACCGCTAAATCTTTCTTCTAATCTCTTATATCTCATGGTTTGCTATAAATCATCCAGATATTTCCTGTTAAAACATAATTTCAGTTAGACTATGTAATTTCAGTCTAAAGAGATTAAATTTGTGTCATAAACCAACAACAGAAGAATCTGAGGCGTCATCACTGCACATTCCTGTACTTGAGTATATAAAAAACATGGAGGAGAACACAGCAACTGATTCACAACCCAAGAAAAGACCCAGAAATGCAGGTGCCAGTCAATCTAATCTGAGGAGAAATACTTTCTCATCCAAAGCCTAGCAACCAGTTTTGCCCTAAATATATAAGCAGGATTAATAAACCCAGTGTTTGAAAAGTACTGTCTTCCCTCAGATCAGTTATTTGGTTAAATCAATAGCTTTCCCGCAGCTTTAACCAATCTTTTGATGTCATCAAGGGAGATTTCTTTTTAACTCTGTAGGCTGAAGCACGAAATCTCTTACAGACATTGTATCAAGTGGACATTGACTTAATGCAAGGTAAAGGTGGTCTGAAGATATTGAAAGTGGAGTGTCCTGCTCACTCAAAAGCCCAAGAAGAAAGAAAACCTTTCCTTTTACTCACTAGTCACAAAAATTCCCACAGAAGATGGATGTAAACAGAGATGACCAATCTATGACCTTTGAGCTACTTAAGGCTCATTCAAAATTCATTCCCAAACCAGTTTGTTATCCTATGATCAGAAGAAACAGGGATCTGCTTGTATGGGAACTGTTGGACAAATCAAATCCCTTGTTGTACAAGCAAGTAAAAAATGGCTAAGGTTCATGCACCTGGATTGTCCAAAACTCTGCTATGTGTCCATCTCAGCCCTATCCCAGAGTGGACCAGTGGGACTCTGCGAAGATTTTTTTTATCTGATGAATTTTTTATCTGATGCAGGACAGCAAAGCCAATTGACACATGATAGCGGAATAGACACAGAAACTTTAATCTAACTTTGACATCAGAGTCAAAACATTGTGAAATGATGGCATGATACCTTAAAAAAATTTTTAATATCAAGAAAAACTAATCATTTTTTTTAATGCTTATCAATAAAAATAGCAACCAAGACAAGAAACTGAAGCAAATACTTCAAAGTCTTTATATATTATAACCAGAGAAAAGGACACAAACTATTTTTTCTTTTCTTTCCTTTAAAGATGGAGAGTTGGATTTTCCAATAAGCTCCAAGTAAGTGAAATGGTGGAGAGGGTCCCAGGAATGCTGTAACGATTCCTCAATGACATTCAGGCCTAGCATAGGTTAGAACAACTGCGAACAAGCTCAGATTTATGATACTTGGGGGAACTCCTGTTCCATTTTAGTAGCCTCTTTCCTGTTAATCAATGCTGGAAAAGAATACTACTTTGTACAGGAATTTTGCCAACTTGGCCACTGTTCTATCAATGAGAATTGTCCTATATGAAGAGAATTATCATACAGTCAGAAAATGGCAACTTTGTGTTCCCTGAACTATGCTGTATGCTCAGCCACAAGTTACCACCTATAGGAATTGCTAGACATCTTCTTTGTCCTGGACTAAGCATGAGGCCAAATTAAGTTCCTGTAAGTATCAAGCTTCTATTTGTGTTTAAAAAGAAAGTCTACTCTGAAAAGAATGTAACGGTATCACAAAGCTCCACCTTTATTGTCTGATGATTTGGAGTATTTGTCTATTCTAGTAAGGGGAACTGCCACAAACTGAAGTAATCTAACTAGCTTCCTATTAGTAATGTGTCTCAGTTCTCAGCTTTACAATATCAGTTCTTGTTCCTGAAAGCTTCAAATTTTTTTGGCTCATACTTAATCAATAACAGAAAATCCTGACAAATCTACAGCTCTCTTTGAGAGATACTTCCTATATATGGAAAATAAACACCAAGAAAGTTGTTTATCACTGAGGTTATTAAATATAACTCCATGATGCATTAATGTGTGAGGAGAAAACATTTTTCATAATCATTGCTTGCAGTATATTTGCATTTTAAATGAGATTCCTACTACAGTTATAACAGAAAAATGTATTTAATTGAAGTGGTATTTACATTTGTCTTAGATTTAGTAAGGTTCCTTAAACTATTTAAAGCAGGATTAAGAAGTTCCATCTTTCTAGAGCCTGAGCCGATGTGTTCACCCTCAGCATATCTAGAAGAACAGATGCATTTTGAATCTGGAAAAACAAGATATATTCATTCAAAGACATATAGTACAGAAGATTAGAGATTTAAAAGTGTTCAGGACTTTATTTCACAGTTTATTGTATTTAATATGCTATATGAAAAATGATGGAAAAACAACAATAAAAGTGACTTTTTGTGCAGATGGAAAACATTTTTTCGAAGTTGAATAAAGCATATATTATTACAGACACATCCAATTTTTTTTTCCCTTTCTAGCCAATGGTATGCCAGGTAACATTGTAACAGTACAAGTCATCAAGGAGCTTGAATCCTTCCCCCACTGAATCATTTTGGGCACCTTTTGCCACGCACAAAGAGCCTTTGTAAGCTGAATATATACAACTTACGAGTATTAGTTACTACACACGGTATCTTTTAATGAAATACTAAACTGAGTGTTAGTGTGCTCAGTGCTCTGACTAAGAAACAGAAAAAGTCTTTGCTGGCCAGGAAGTTCTCAGTGAGGTGGGATAGGGCTGGTTTCTACTGCCCCTGGAAGGGATCCTCAATATGACTGAATTGCCATCTTCCAAAATCCTTTTCCCTTAGGATTTTATTCCTTTTCATGATGATGTTTTTTTCCTCTTAAATCCTTGAACTGCTGCC